AAAGACTCACGGTATCCTGAGTTAAAAATCTACCGGCTCATCATTCGAGGCGAGATAAAGCAGTGCTATCGATTGAGTCACTGGCTCATAGCTCGACGTGACTAAAAACGGGGTCATCTATTGGGATACTGGATCGCCGTGCCACAGCATTTAAAAGGTGCCTTCGATTGGGCTACCTGCTCGCCGAGCGACAGGACTTACAATGGTGTCATCTATCGGGCCATTGGCTTACCGTGCGACGAGACCCGAGACGATGCCACATATTGAGCCACTGGCTTTCCGTGCGACAAGACTGACCTTTCGTTGAAAGCGAGAAATGTCCACCCCCAAACACTCAAAGTCTGGCGCTTCCAGTCAAAACCTTTACATGCTATGCCTCTCGAGGTCCGACGGCAGGCATAATTGAACCCACATAGGGACTCATCTCTAGAGTATACGATTTACTAAAAAGGTGACAATTATACACTGCATATAATTATCTCATTTCTACTAGAGAGAGCCTATTAGGTGTCTCTCATTACTTCAATTCTTCCGTGTAGTAAACAATTTCCTTGAACGGTCGACTTTTCAACTGCTTCGCTTGTTTCAAACTCGGCGAGTATGAACTTGACAAGCCTCTACTCCAAGAATCTGAACTTGACGAGTCTAATCTCAAAATCCTTATCTCTACGATTTTCATCCATACTAGTCTTATCTCGGCGAGTCTCATCTCGACGGGTCCTTTCTCAGTGAGTCTCATCTCGATAAGCATTAGCTCGTCGAACTCTAGTTTTCGTAATCTGCCAATAGGAGGAATGTGTAGTAAACAAATCCCTTTACCTCACATGCTTCAATTGTTTTGACCAGGGGCTTGACAGCATCTTGTAACCTTGCAACAATTCAATTTCAGTACGTGTGAACACTGTTATACAACACAATAGAAGGCGTTACTTGCGCTTGTCATCAGCCACGATACGGGCGAAACAGCTGAAATAATTATATCTAGCTTCTACACATTCAATTTGGTCAAAATTATACTTTTCTTACTCTTGCTTTGTCACGCTTTTTAGGAAGTCAGAAGACATCGTGATGTATGGAAATTTCTTAAGAATAATAGTGATCTGAGAGGTAATATTCTTGTCAAGTTTGCTAAGAAAAGGATTGGAGATTTGTTGTAAACGTGGAGGGCTGTATGACGACCAGAATGCTATCAACTCTACCCACCGGAAATGTGAAAAGGATGTCGCCGTTCACAGTTGCAAACTTGAGCATGGTCTAAATGTTTTAAAAATTTTGGAGAAAGAGAGGGAGAGTCTTAAAAGAAGGTTAAATATTACCTTGGTACGTTGGCGTGTTGACATAAAAGGGCTCGCGGAAAGAAATTGCACCTGGGACCCCATTATTCGACACAAGGTAATCGTTATTACATTGTTATCTTCTGGCCTGTTGTAAATGAGGACCTCAGACTTGACTTTCACCTCAAAGGGTGGTGACCCTGAACACGAGTATGCCATGCTGTTGGCATATTTATCTTATATAATTAGCACTATAACGCAGATAACCTGTGCATTGAGGGCCCTCGTGCACTCGACTGTAGTTGCAAAACCAGTGAATTGTTTTTGACATTTGTTGTCTTGGCCTATATCTTTTCCATCTCATCATTTGAATATCAGGGCGTCCGAAGGTAAGCGTAGCAAACCTGCAGACTCGCAAAAAGTTACTACAAATTTATAGCATTGCAGATAGGAGATTGTTGGATTCACTCTTTCTTGGTTGTATTCACTCCCTTTTCTTTTGTTGAGTAAACATTTAAAACAGCCAATTCTGAATAGTCAATATATGTGAAACATCTACCCGTTTATCCTAAGATATGATGCAGTATCATCCTGCTCGATCAAGATATTACTTGGTATGATAGTCGTCCAACAATTTTTTTATTTCAGCATCTCAAACTACGTCATGTTTAACCAGTACAATTAAATCCCTTTGCAATTTTTCGTACCACGAAAGTAGCCACGGGTTTGCACGACGTATTCTAAACGTGCTGAGAGCGGGGTAGATACCTCAGCTGCTCTCTATTTCTGCGAAGGCTTGACAATGAAAAAACCTTCAAATCAATCAAAATGACTGAATTACGAGCAGAGATCATTTTCACGTAAACGCTTATTTTAATCGTTTTGGATACTAAAAATGCGTCGATAAGAAGAAAGATAGAAAAGTGCAGTATCGCGTGGTTTTTATGATAAATTCGAATTATTAATTAGCCACTTGTTGATACACCACGTGCGTATCGGCCTCATTTTCTTCTTCTTATGACATCTATCCCGCTCCTTACACGGGTCTGTAAATGTGCGGAAGTGCCCTTCATCGCCAACGTTACTGTCTTTCTGTCTTCTGTTTAATCCTAATCCCATTCTATCTTTTGCTATTGAGATATTAATTTAAAATTTGTCCGTTAAACACCATTTAACGCTCCTCGTCACCGTCCGTCGATTTTGAATATCATTAAAAGAAATTGTGTATAGTGCCCAGCCTCGCTGCGACAAACACAGAGGAAATGCGAACCACGCACGCGGTATAAAAGTAAAAAGAGTAAGCGCAATAGAATAAGATGCTTCCTTTCATCTAAGTACGAAATGCCACCGTCCGCATAATACACACGCTGACTAGTCCACACAGAAACCATCTATGTAGACTATTAAAATTAAACACAACGAAACGCAAATTCAACGTCACCTCAAGGTCGCCAAACTCTAGTAGTTTGCTTTTCAAGTGCGGTATTGTGGCCTATAAGCACAATTATTATAGTTGTTAATCGAAATGGTTTACTATCACTAGACGTATACGCATTCTTATCCACAAGCTTATCATTACAGGCTAACAGTGCACATATAAGCGTTGCCGTCAGGTCATTGTGACGGAAAACACTTAGCTTGGGGATTACGAAATATCACGTATACTAGTACGTGTAGAAGAAGGTAGGCTACGCAAACAGCTGCTTTAAATAAAAGGTAGAAAGAGAAATGTACTTTATAATATTAAGCTTTTTAATACAGCTTCAGTCTATATCTAAATATATTAAACCATGTCGTCGAATGACGACAACCTGCTCACTACTCATTGCGCGCGTCTAGCAGCGACTGGTGGTTTTATATGGCTGATAATACTTAATCAGCCAAAATTTGAGCCGCGCATGAATGTTATCCAAAAGAGGAAGATATTCCTTCAGTATTATCCATTTCCGATAGCAATGGTAGGATTTTGTCACGCTAGACAATATCCCTATTGACACCGTTTGGATCGATCCCTGTAACGGTCTACCCCGTTACATCACCCTTCTTAAACATCGATCACTCTTCGATTGAATATAACTGACTGGGACAGGGTTACCACCGTTGATTCACACTGGAAAGGGGAGCACTTGTTGGTCAAAACCCAACTCATTTGCCAATTCATCGCATGGTGTCAAAAGTCATGCGAAATGATGCCGAAGCTGCAAGAAAGGCGGTCGCACGCATGCGTGCAGCCGGAGAGAGCACTTCTCTTGCTTCAGAAGCAGGTAATCCTTCGCCTGCTGTCGCAAGTGAGCAACATGTAGTGTTTGTTGCGACTATTCCACGCCGTGAACCGCGACGTGCGATAAATACATCCGCCACGTCTGCAGCGGGTGCTGCGACTCGCAATGTGGATGAGCCTGAAATAGAGATCATTTATTCTGGCGAGTTAGATAATGCATCCGACTTAAAGGGGTCACCACCTGCCTCTGAATCACCTGGGAAAAAAAATTGCAAGAGTTAGATTGACCGGCGCTTAAAAACGTGGCGGCGTCACGTCTTTATTTTTGGACTGAAAAATTAGTCCTAGAAATTTTCGTCTCACGCAAGTCCATCTGACAAAATAACACACACGGTGATGGTTTGACACTATGCGCAACGCAGTACCAAGCAATGGAACGGTGGTGACACAGTTCTTCTTCCCACAACTAAAGCCAGAGACAATCATCACGCACCAATTCGAAGTGATCAAGTCGAGCAGCGATAACATGGTTATTGGAAGAGATGTCATGAACGCACTAGGCCTGGTTTTGAACTTTAAAGACAGGCTGGTTCAATGGGACGACTGTTTGCTCCGGCTTAACACAGGGCAAGAGAAAGCGAAAAGACTCAGGTAGGCACGGTAGGCTAACATGGTATTTAATACATTCTCATTTTTACCTTTGACTCCGCAAGACCCTCTCAAGCAAGGCTCGCGGACCGATCACCCCTCTACAAGCCACGGGTGTGTCATTATGACACACCTATACGTCACCACGATAACCTCAAGGGATTGAGCTGCTACTGGTGACAGTGCCCATGCTGACAGCACATACGAGTCCAAGGAAGGCAATTTCCTGCGTCATGCCTTTTAAGTGAATTTTTCAAGAATTCCAAAATCGAAAAGGTTGGATCGGGTGGCAAGTATGGCCACCAAGCGGTAAAAATCTTGCTGGTCGACTGTTGGAGGATCTGTGCTTCTAATTCTAGCACTGAAACTATTAAAGCTGAGGAAGAATTCTTCACCGATGCGTTTTTCAAACATCGGTGGTACAATGGTAGCCGTGTACGAGACGGTAAGGCCTTAATGCAAGGAAGGAATGAATTCATCCACAACACCAAGTGTATTGGCCGTGAGGCCTGGCTCGCCAAGCTATTTTGCAGCTCGCATCAGGTTTGAGAGACGCAACCCCGTTGGGGCGCGATACAAGTTGCACCGGCTTTCAAGAGAGGCAGGATTACCCTGTCTCTCGTGGAGTGATTCGTGACCAGGTTGCCGGGACAACTCAAACCGTGCCCCTAGGGAGGCCTCCCTCCCTAACGATCCCTACTGGAGGGCGCGCACCTCTTCCGAGATAGCCGAAGGGATTGACACCTTGCAATCCCTGTACTCGCGTTCGAGGAGGTCATTTTCCGACGTCCCTTCTTCGAACGCAGAGGGTGAGTCCCGTCATGTTGCTCGACGAGACCAAGTACATCAACAATCAGCTAAGCACGAGGATCCCAGCTGTCCCACGCCGGTGGATAGCCACGCCAGCGGACGAGGTAACTCTTCCGGACGCCCTTAACGTCGCTGTGGTTCAAAATACGCTCCGCTAAGAAGCGTTGACCTCCGCCAGAATCCTCCAAAGAATTTGTTAGGGACGGGAACACCTGATCCAGCTCGAGGGTCGGATAAGCTCGATGTTCAGGATCTGAACCGTGTGACCGATCAGTAACACGACGACAAGGCTTGTAAACGGACTCGGTAATTTGAGCTGCATGACCTTGTAAATAAATATTACAATTCCTTAGCGCACAAACGTTTAGAAGATCTTGCCGCGTTTGCAGTCGCGCAACTTGAGAGCGAACGTTCGACTCGTTCTCTTCGTGACGAGCTGGCTGCAGCTCGTCGAGACGTCGCTGAGCTGCGTGAATGGGTCGCTCCGCTAGTCGACCAGACTGGCTCGTTGAAACGGGACCACTCGAAGGTGGTCTCGGCTCTCTACCACGGAGGTGTTCTTCGCATCTCGAAACGGGCTCGTACGGATAGTACGGGCGGAGACGACCGACGTAAAACGTAGGATCCGTGCGCACCTTACGGGGCAGTTCAATCGTGTATGCGTTGCCCATTCGGCGCAACACACGAAATGGACCGTTGTACCTGGGCAGTTATTAACTGCTACCGACGTTTGTCACTGCGTGTTTTGGTAGATTTACTGTAGACAGTAAAACTAAGTCTCCTACATCAAATGAAAGAACATTTGCTCTTCCATATTTATCTGCGTTTCTCTTCTGTCTGTCTAATGCATCTGCAATAGAGTCTTGGACGAAGCGGACAACCGCTTCGCGAGTCAGCATCAATTCTTTTTCTGATTCATCCTTGTCAACAGCAGTGCGCTTCGTGTGCACTGCTGACAGAACGTTTTCTTCATCAGTATAGGCGTCACCGTCCTCACAATGGCAGTCATTGGCGATGCTGAATATACCAGCATCTTCGTCATCATCATCATCGATAGCGATCGCATCGACATCGGCATCCATCACGTCGACACCATTGCTGACGTGTTATGAGCAAGAACCCGATATGGTTATGCTCGAGCGAGTCCACCCCCCCCCGTTAAACTAAATTTTAACTCTAAGAAGTCGGGTAAACGTGGATGGCGTAGGCCATTCACGAAGAACGGTGTATGCGTTGTCGACGCGTGCACCGAGTTGTTGATAACGAATTTTGCCATCGGCAAGAACTCACTCCGGCTCGTAAACGAGTGGACATAACCTCGAAGTATCTCTTCGAGGACGCGGTTGACGCGTTCCGTTTGACCATCTGTTTTGGGATGGTCAGTAGTGACATCGTCAAACGTGTTCCAAGTGAACGGAACACGGATTGCCAGAACTCCGCTGCGAAGCGGGGGTCTCAATCAGACACGAGTTCACGGGGTAACCCGTGAAGTCGGAAGATAGTATCGATGAAGACACGCGCACAGCCCTGGGCTGTGATTGACTCTGGCACAGCAACAAGATGTACCATCTCGCTGAACCGATCCATAAACACAAGAGTAACCGTATTCTTGTGAACGTCTTTGGGAAACCCGAAGGCGAAGTACATTGATACGGACTGCCAACACTCTGCCAGAATCGGAAGAGGCTGTAAGGGTGCGCGGAATGAAAGACTCGGATTCACCCGTTAGCAAACATCGCAATCGCGAATGTATTTGCGCACAAACTCATACTGGCGGGGCTAGTAGAAGTCACGACTCACCATGAGGTAAGTCTTTTCTCTACCGCAATGTCCACTGTTTGGGGCATCGTGACACTCATACATGATGCGCAATCGCAAATCATAATGAGCCGGAACAACGACACGAGGTGTGTCGCCGTTGACTGCTGTATAGTACAGCATTCCATCACGAACAAAATACCGTTCGGTTAAAGAGCGGTATTGAGACGACAAGCTTTTCAAAGCTTGACTGCATGTATTGGATGCGTAATCCATTAACCGCAGAAGATACTCATCTTCTGTGTATGCTTTTCGCACGTCGTCGAGCAGATTCGACGACGAAACACTCACTGTTAGTGTCGCGACAGTGGGATCACCCCTACTGTTGGGTTGAGCAGTCGGCTCGAAACCGGGCCGACGCGAAAGAGCATCAGCGACTACATTAAGTCGATCTGGTTTATACTCGACGGAGAAGTTGTACGCCACGAAGAAAGACAGCCACCTCGCCATTCGTTGCGAGAGGTGTGGACTTTTTACGGCCTTGCGTACTGACGCATGGTCGGTAAAAACGATGAAGGGCCTATCTCCTGAGATATGTACCCGAAACTTGGCCAGTGCATATTTCATGGCAAGGAGTTCATTGTCATGCACCAGGTACTTGTGCTCAGCTACTTGCAGCTGAAGCTATTGATAACAGACGACGCGCTTAACGCCGTCTGAGTCGTACTGCATTAACGCGCATCCGATTGCAAAATCACTGGCGTCACAGACCACATAAAATTTCCTATCCTGATCTGCAATCGCCAACACAGGCGACTGCGTAAAGCTTTTCTTGATGCCATTAAAATAGTGCTGTTAATCAGCGCTCCATGACCACCTCTCGTTTTTCTTTAGTAGACGAGAGAGATGTACGGTCATCTCGGCATAGTTTGCGCGAGTATTTGTACAAATACTCTGCCAAGCCAAGGAACTTTCGATGTCCCTTGACGTCGACTGGCGCAGGCTAATCGGTGATCGCCTTAATCTTTTCCAGATCAGGGCGCACACCGTTTTTATCCACAATTCAGCCAAGAACTGGTATTTCGTTCGCTGCAAATATACACTTCCTGAGGTTCGCGAACAACTTATGCTCTCGCATTAGCGTAAGAACCTTCCGTACGTGGAATCTATGAACCTCCACGTCCGTCTTTCCATTCATAGACCGGCTATGGACGAAGACATCGTCGAAGTAACTCGGTGCAAAGTCGCGCACCGATCGCAACAGATTTGAAACACATCCGTTGAACGTTGCAGGGGTGTTACTTAGCCCCTGTGGCATCACTAGCCACTCCCAGAGCATACCACTGGAGGTGCTCACTGCTGTGTAAGGGATATCCTGTTCACACATAAGGATATGATAGAATCCATCCATAAAATCCATGGACGAAAAGATAGTACTCTTTGCCATACCTTCTATGATGACGTCCTTCCTTAGGATTGGCGTCTGAGTCGGTACCGTTTCAGCGTTCAGTTTGTTGAACGCGTGCACTACCCGCCACCCTCTTGTGGCCTTTCGCACACAGAAGGTCGGACAGCTGTGTGGTGATGTTGATACCTCACATGGCCAGCCGCTAAATGATCTGCAAAGAATTTGTCGATCGTTGTTACCTGTTCACGAGGCAGTGGCCACTGCTTCATGACACAGTATTTCGAACCAGGTTTCAGTTCGATCTCATGCCGAGTGCCTTTGTCCTTAGGCAGCTCGCATGGCACGGATTCCGGGATAACATCCCTGAATTCAACCAAATCCTTACACGAAAGATTTGACTTTAGAGACCTCCCAAGATTGAGACGTGTATCGCTCAATCCGAGTCTTCTCATCGAGGACACTCTCGTCCATCGATGAGCTACTGATCCCCCGTTCGTTCTCAGCAAACACTCGTGCCGACCGGATATCGGCGACGTACTCGTCCTCTGTGACGAGTACGCAGATCTGCTTGATCTTGTCGCTACGCAGATCTCGCAAGAAAGTTATAGATTCTAGCGTTGACAACTTGACTACCTCCGAAGCTGACTTCGGGGGCGTCACCAGATCAAGTGTACAAGCGCCCACATTTGATCCATCACTCATCAAGACATTCACTGCCTCAGTGCTTTCCTTGGAAAACAAATCCGCAGGTGGGTGGGGATCCACACCCTCGACATAACTATCTCGGGAGTTATCACTCTCAGGAACGCTGGAACTTTCTTTAGATACGTGTGCTGAATGTGGGTGCACTACCACAGTCACTTTCCCTTCGATAGACTCTCTGTTTGTCGATCTCGCTTGAACGTGTTGTTCATCCTGAACAACACTCATCTCTCTTCAAGGTCGCAACCTTCTTGGCATGCACCCATGTGCCAATCCATTGAATCTTTTCGAGTGGTGAACCTTCGATGCAGCCTGTGTCCCTCCACAGGTGCCGGAAGCTGGTTCCACAGTGTAGTGGTCTTCTACACTGTGATCTTATGCAATCGTACTAACGATCGTACCACAAGTGAGGCCATCGCGCTCACTTGTAGTAAATCCACACGCTTGCGGACGCTCCAAGACGTTCCATAGATGAACATCCGATGAACAAACGGCGGGAATCTTCACGGATCGATGCTGCCAGCTAACCCATTGCAGAGCAAGGATAACGTCAAATTTTTCATCCAAATCTAACACGATAAAGTCATCGTCGTACTACTTTCCTTCTAGCGCGTAGTGGATTCCCACTACACGTTTGTTCACTGTTACGGATACGCCTGTAGCAAGGCACACCGCCATCCTTGTTGGAGGGACCTCTTGCTCAACATAGTTGAGCCTACTATCATCTGGTTACTGGCGTTGGATAAAACTGTTCGACGCCCCTCAGTCAACTAGGGCACGAAGTGACATTCCACTTGTCACTTTAAATTTCAACGCGATGAGAGACTCCTCATCACTAAGGGCAGTAACACACAGAGACTGCGTGTTGGGAGCAATCTTCGTCAAGCTTCCTTCGAATTCTCTTGACGTTACTGGATCAGCAAGGTGCTCCGCTCCTACTGAACCTGACCGTTTTTTGACGGTCCGACTTGCTGTCGCGGCTTGGCTACATGGTCGGATCCACGCCTCGGACCCTTCCTTGGCCAAAGGCGGTCATCACGTCCTGTTTTCGGACGTGTCGCAGTGCTCGGGACACTACACTCATGAACGTAGTGTCCGATCTTTTGACAGCGGTGGCATCTTGCCGTTCGCTTGTGACTCAGAGAGCGAGATTTCTCCCTCTCAATATAACAGAGGTCCATTGGTTCGGGACCTCCTGTTTCCCGTCGCCTCGTCGGACGATAGTTGGACAAGTTAGCCTGAGACTGTCTCAGGATGAAGTCTTCTTGTTCCACATACGCTATCGTCTTTTCCAGCGTATAGAAGTCCTCTCGGAATATGCAGGTCTTCACCGACCCATCCACAAGGCCGTAGTTGAACACGTTGATGAGCGTGTGCTTATGAACAGGGTTTCCGTGACGCTACTCGCAAGGTAGCGTAGGTGTTGTGCGTAAGCGCGCACGTCACGCTTACCTTTCATTAGACTCAAGATTGCAGAGCGTGCTCTGAACTCGTCTCTTGATGGCTCATACGTATCTTTAAGCCGAGACTTCGAGATCTCCAACGACTCAAACACGTTTGGGTCGTGAAGCTCTAGCTCTAAGGCCCAAGTCTTTGCTCTTCCTGTCAAATTTGACAGGAGGAGGTGACTTGCATCTCGTCACCTCGATGTGACGGGCCCTGATGGCATCGTCTAACTCGATGAACCATCTCTAAAGGGAATCTTCATCGGCTCCCTTGTACCATGAGATTTCAATCTTCAAGGTTTCGGGTCGACGCGTGTGCGTCGGCCCGCCCATCGACTGATGAGAGCCTTGCTGCTGTAGCAAGGCTATCTTCTGTCTTTCGACGGCAACGAACCTTTGTAGGAGCTTGTTGATAGCAGCATGATGCTGGTCTCTGCTTAGAGAATCCAACATGCCTCTGATGGCGGGTTCGCCCATGAGCACACTTATGCGGCCGACTACCTACCATTCTGAGTCACTCAGATGGGAGTAGCCTTCACGTCTGATGTGAAAGCTGTCGTCTTCTACGTCCAACGTGCTCATGTTGGATGGAAACTTAGTAGTCGTTGGACGGACTACGAAGTGCTACTAGGTGTAACGGGGAACCTTTGTTTGGGGTACCACGAAACTTTATGTACACTAGTACGTGCAGAGGAAGATAATCTACTTGAACGACTCGTCTGAGCAAAGGTAAAAAGAGAAATGTGTCTAATATAGTTAAGCTATCAATATTACTTTAGTCTTTATCTAACTATAATAAACTACGTCGTCATACGACGACAACCTTCTCACCACTCATTGCGCGCGTCCAGCAGCGATTGGTGGCAATCTATGGTTGTTATTTATTCAGCAACATATCTTTGAGCAGCGCATGAATGTTATCCTAAAAGGGGATAGTATTCCTTCAACAATATCTATCTTGGATGATGTTGGTAGAATATTGTCAAGCTAGACAATATTCCTATTGACACCGTTTGGTGTCAGTTTCATGTAATGGGATACCCCGTTACATAGGGCTCAATTCAGCATGCGGTGACGGAGACACCAGGGCCAACCGACCCTCACAGACCTCGACACGGCTACACAACGCCATCACATCGACTAGTGGTACGCTTGTTATAAAATGACCACCGATGAGGTCGACCGGTGTGGCCGAACCAACATCGGCGGGAGCGGCCACGACGGCAACAACAGACGAAGCGGTCACGACTGGGGGCGACCCCACACCCGAGGTGACCTGAGCCGACTCCACCGGTGGCTAAGTCGACTACGTGGTCAAGGTGGACTCACCAGCGTTCATCAGCCATGACTACTCTGGAGAGCCGGGTGTGACACGAGATGCTACAACGGGGTCTGCTTAGGCAAAGACCTCTGACGAGTGCAAATGTTAGTGAATCAGGAGTTGGAGCCGGACCCTGGAAGGGTAAGTCGGATACATTTGAAGTCATCGCTGCTAGCACACAGGTAAGACGATGACAGGGAATCGACCACAAGAGTAAGTGGGAGTAACGAAACTGGGGTGGTGAAGAAACGCTCGTTTCGAATCGCTGTACAGTCGTGCAAGTGCAAGGGGCAGCTGTGGTGAAGCGAGTATTCGAAAGGAGGTACTTGAGGGTCGATGATCCGGATGGACATTGGACTTCGTGGCCGGGTAGGGACCGGAGACTTGGGGGTTACAGGAAAGGAGCGGTCGTTGGGTCCAACCGTGACGAGCGTTTAAGGTTACTGCTAACGGGGTCAAACCGAATACTGGTACCAGTTAAACGGTAACGATATGGATCGTTATCATCCACGCTTCGGTCGTATTGGTTGCCCAAGGTGGACCTCGGTCACTTGTAAGCCGACCTGTCCACCCATCGGCTTCCCTGGTCACCCGATGGGTGACTAGATCCCTCAAGATCTGGAGGCTTAGCTACTCATCATTGCGAATCCAGGCGCAAGGCAAAAATAGAGTAAGGACGTTTTAAAGGATAGGATAACATTAAGATACAACTTTATTTTCGATCTAATAGCACGACGTGTTGTGCACTAAGAAACTTGTAAGTTCGTCAACCTGTTCCGGGCCAGGGATCTTTTGGACCACCAGTCCAATAGATGGTTGTCATTAAGACATAGGGGTAAGTAGAGCCCCAGGAAGTACGTTGGCCTGTGAGTTCGTAGAGTAGCACCCCCATCTCAAGCCCGCTCTAGACGGCGGTCTCCGTACCCTAGTGGTTAGGCAGAAGACACATAAAGGCCAGGCGGTTACCACCTCTGAGTCAAGTAAAGGTCAGGAGCCACCAGCACCTGAGACAAATGATTATAAGACTACTCTTGACTAAGTCGATCGAGTGGCCGCCTACATTGGACCCCGACTAAAGCATATCCGCTCGGCCCCTCCAGGTCGACATCCATCAAGGCCGACGTCTACATCACCAACAAGTCCTCCGAAGAGTGAAACCGCCAAGCCGACGGGTACACAAGATGAGTCAAGGTCCACATGCGGCATCGGGGTACCCCCTCCGGAAGTCGGCAGTCCGACACAGTGAGTGGTTTGGGGTCTCGTCAAACAGTTTTAACAACCCAATACACCACAATCCCATACATAACAAGGAACAGTGGCGGGTCGTACCGAAACTTTCGCCACCTTGCACAAGAGTAAGAAATCAATTTTTCGAAATGAGTGCATACCGAGTGCAACCATTAATACATCTGGTTACCTTCAGTTTGTTGACAATGATTTTGTTGTTCATGCCTATCTTATCCGCCAAACCTTCTGACTAAAGCAGTTTGAAGTTACCGACGGTTGAGGAGGCAAACAATCGATCTAATTAGCAGTAATTGCTCGCAAATTCGAATTTCGACGGCAGTCCGTGCAATAATTGAAAAGGAGGCGAAGATGGACCGCAATTTGGTGTGCCCACCACGGAACCCGTTCGTACGCTTTTGGCATTACCGTAGGGCAGATTCGTGGTCTGGAAACTGCAATCCATTGGGATGCCGTTTATTACGTGAATCATGTTAATTGAAATGGATTGCTTAGCACCTTACGGAATATACTTTACCTGTAGGTTATCCAAGTTCGCCACCGTGAACTGCCGCCCTCCACAACACCTGAGTTCTGGGGCAGTCTACGCGTTCAGCATTTGTTCATGCGTCTGGCTAATCTCATTCAATCCTTGAGTAAGACCAAATTTGTTTTCTCCGTCCAAATCCTCGCTACTCGGAATTGCCTTTATCTCACATCAACACTACAAGAAGCTGCCGGATGTAGAGAGAGACGCACTCCTCAAGAATTTCCTTATAGTTGAAAGTTGTGTCTTAAAGATCATTACATTGTGTTCTGGGTACTCGACTCCCGTCATTTTTGGACGGGAAATCGTATAGCAGGGATGCGGTTTGCGTGCGATTTGAGAGTGAAGATGTCCAAGCGTCTCTTTCCTGCGAGTAGAATAGGATTGTTGTGCTAGCAACGGTTCAAATACACACGGAATAGTAAGTGTTTGTTCAGCTATGTTAAATTGCATAGTTCTTTAGATGAATGTTTTCTTATTACAATGATGATTTTCGCCGCCGAGAATGAAGCCGTTTGGGCATCGTACGTTGTCACGAAGGAACATCCCTTTTTTAGGGTCAAAAGTATGATGTTTAGGAGCTTCTGAACTTGGCTTATGATGTGATGAATTATTGATTGCTCTGTACATGATGCGAAAGCTAATGGCCTGTTCTTGCTGCGACGTGTAGTAAGAGTAGGAATCTCCTCGGCATTTTAATGTGCAAAAAGACGGAGCAAATCAAATATTATACAATACTCGAGCCATTGACATTCTCAAGGCGGAGATCAGAATCTATTGCTGCACCTGATCAGTCGGTGCTATTTTTAATTAATGGCGAAGGACTGAATATGCTGGAAGCAGACGTTGCTTGGTATGTAGTAGAAGATTGGTGTTAACAAGATCTGACGAACCACGGTTTGATTCTAGCCTGCAATTGTGAGTCGCGTCGATCGCCTTAAACCTAATCTCCTGTGGCTCGCAAGATTTACTTGAGTTCGATGCGCTGATAGATGTTACTGAAAATGATGATATTGCAATAAAGCGCTATCTGACAAAACAGGTCCTTTGTCAACTGCTGCTTCGGAGCGTGCATCGTGTATGCAGATCGCCTCACTTCTACTTTGTGACTAGCGGATTTCCTCTGGCACGATTTTCTATCGCATTTCTGAACATGCCGAGCCACTACACAGAGAGAACCTGCTTTGTGGAGCAATGATGATGAATACTAAAGCTGTAAAAAAAACTGGCTGAAACGATAATGGCTTGTAAAAGAATGAAATACTAGATATAGTGGTAGAATCTGTATAAACATAAAACCAGATCAAATTGTATTCACACCTGATCGAAAGTCACGGAACTTTGTGCCAAATATCCCTAGTCCAAGGATTCCAATGAAACAGCACAAAAACGAGTCACCACTCTTTACCTTAACTTTTCAGGACAATCACTCGATGCTGGCAAGATGATCCAAGAATGTGAGGACCTGCGGTCAGCTGGTCATACACATGACCGATCATCGAGGCTACAGCTGAACGCAACAAAGCCGTGCCTCAGACTCCTTCTATCGAAGTGAGACCGAAAAGAACGCAAACGATAGCGAATAAAACCAGGAGCGCATTCGAAATACAATATCCGGAGTCATATTCGCTGGTGCGCTAGTCCCACAGAAACTTGTCACACGTCTACAATGGGCAGGTAGCAGAGGTAGAAGAACAATCCGGGGTCTGATTCAAAAAGGGACGTTCTCGATGTATCAATCCCCGTCGATGCAGTAGAAGGAGAGCGGATCGTCCGTACGACTCGGCTGAGAACTGGATATTGCGATTGAGTGTAGTCGACCATGCAATACATGCCGTCGCCCTCAAACGTGGCCTGCGCTGTCCACCCTTGCGTATATACAGCAGATAGTCATCAGTATTGACCGGGGCTTCGGTATCACATTGTAGCCCTCATCTGCTCGAGCGCATTGCGATCCGTGTGCACACTCACCGAGTACTTGGCTGGACGAAAATAGAGAAGCACGATATGCACAGGCCGGGTTGGCCGCGTTTCTACCGTAGGCGATAATGAAAGTTGCAGACGGCGAGATCGCGCAGCTCTTGAGCGCGCTTTAGCTGCTGTGGCTCTGGATCCAGCAACAAGTGCCCAAGGCCGAAGACGACAACCATTTTGGCGTCGAGGTGCAGAAATACGTCGATGCGCACCTGAAAGAGTCGTGTAAAAAAGTGGCAAACGACGTGGGACTCGATCGCTGGTAACCGCTTCGTGCGAGCTACTGCTGTGGAGAAGCTCGACTTGAAAGCGAGCTCTGAGTCGAGCACGATGACGACTGTCACGTCGTTTGGGGGCGGCAAAGACCGCGACGAAGAGAAAAGCGTGACGGGCAGAGTGGAGAACCAGAGTCACACGGGGAACAGTGTGTCGTGACGGAAGGCGTCGTCTCGAGGGAATAAAACAAGGAGAAGATTGGGCTGTTTCGCGGGGAGAACGATCGTGCAGGGTCCCACATATATTAACAATCTAGCGGTGTAGCACAATGGAGAAGCAGTGCCATATTGTGGTGGGGTGGGAGGGTGGGAGGAAGGAAGTGTCTCGTTGGTGAAGAACGCAGACTTGGACGATACAGAGCTGGGCAGTCAAGATCCTCATTGTTGTCCTGAATTCTTGGCACTTCAATGTGGGTGACATGATGGATTAATTGCGATGACTTAGCTGGATGATTTCAGCTGAGTGATGCGGCCAGTTGTGACATGGAGTCCTGTCGTCCTGAGCTTCGTAAAGTGTGATGATCAGGGGGCATGAGTAGCATCGGAGACGCAAGAACTGGATTAATCTATGATCTGATTGAGTGCTAACGGCGGAGTGGCGCCGAATTGTTCGAGGCAAGTCACGCGTCACTTTTTCCAGTGGCTGATAAAATGGGGTTTTGTAGCACAGCAGTTTGCGAAATTCATGAACCGCGTAGTGATAGTTTCCATTTTTGACGTGCGATCACTCGCAGTGGCACTTCACGGCGACCACGACCGTAACAAACAATGAACACACAGCGTAGCACTAAAACACAAGCAAGAATATTAACAAGTGCTCAACCGTTGAATTCATACTCAGTTATCGTCAACTGCTCCCAATTCCCCCAACAACTGACTAACAGGCGAACACGCATTTCCGACAGAGCCAGACAACATGCTCTCGTGCTCGTATCATCAGGACTGAGAAGTTCAGTACTGATTTTGAGACCGGCACTCGCGATAGCAGCAGTCTCGAAATTGGCCAACGCGAGTTTCATAGTTGCCGCAAGTTTGAGAGGCCTTGACGTTGAGCTCGTCACAGTGAACACCGGAGTCGCTGCATTTGTAGCCAGGCGGAACCCTGGCGCTCGCGCAACGGCTCAAGCAGCAGTCCTTGAACTCGACACTAGGATCTTTCTGCCAGCTGCAAAACGAGGACGCGTCGTGGTCAAGTCCGTCACACGGAACATTGATCGCGCTGCAGTAACGGTCGGGTTGTTTGCCAGCAGACGGGCACTTGCTCATGCAGCATTGTCGAAAGTCGTCAAGCGATCCACTGCGGCAAGACCTGGAAACGCTCACGTCGTTGTCGCCGCATGGAACTTCGGCCGAGTTGCTGCAGAAAAGAGCAGCATCCGGGCACTGCTTGGCGCAGCAGCTCTTGAACTCGAACATCGACTGCGGACCCGTGTGGCAAGTCACGGTCGCGGAATAGTCCTTATCACCGCATGGGATACTGGCGTCGCTGCAGCGCGTCTCCGGCGAGACAGGCGGATAAATGCCAGGCTCGCCACTAGCGTATCCCATGACTGAACTGGAGGCGACGGTTGCCATGAAGAGGACCAGAGAGGAGGGGACGTGCATCTTTCCTGGAAGGTTGGGTCGGTCGGGTGTGCGGCGGTGTGCGGTGTTTGTGGCAAAAAGCAGAATGACAGTTTACAGCACTGCTTAAGAATGAGGTGCGCTGGAAAGAGGTGAGCTGCCTGGCAGTCAAGATATCGGATCAGTTGAGATACTTCCATACAAACGATACGTTAGAGACACGAGACATTTTTGACTTTTGGCAACAGCCAAGAGCGAGTTGAGGTGGGAGAGCTTAGAAGAAGGTAAAATGGAAAGTGAATTATCATCTAGCTAGGTCCTTAGTTCGTCTCGTTGTACTACTCTAAGCCTATCGATATCGACTCTATAATATTAGTAACAAAACGATGAGTCGATCCCATCGTTACACACTATCACACAGTGTCGTCCATGACATATGGTCATTAGTATCAGTAACCAACACCGTTACCAATACTCCCCCTCGACTAGAAGTCTCTGATCCTGGCCTTGTCCAGCAGCGACTCGAACTTCTTTGTCGAAATCGGTTTGGTCAGAAAATCTGCCAGCTGTGACTTGGTTTCAGTATACTGCAGGTCGATAATCTTGTCTTTCACCTGTTCGCGCACAAAATGGTATCTGATGTCGATATGTTTCGCTCGACTTTGATAGCCGTCGTTCTTAGCGATAGCGATTGCACTCTGGTTGTCTTCGTGAATCTTGACAGCATAGTTAATCTGCACTTGCATCTCCTTGAGTAGACTTCTTGTCCACAGAACCTCCTGCACACATAAAGAAAGAGCCATATACTCTGCTTCTGCCGTGCTCAGTGCCACGCTCTGCTGCATCTTCGACTTGAAAATCACAGGTGCGCCATTAATCATGATAAAAACTCCCGAAATCGATCTGCGATTCCACTTGTTACTTGCCCAGTCTGCATCGGTGTACGCGCTCAGCTGAAGATTGCCTGAAACTCCTTCATAACAAATTCCTTTGCTCTGCGTCGTCTTCAGATATCGCAACACTCGAATCGCTGCATTCCAGTGCTCTTCATGTGGAAATTCCAAATGACGACTCAGCTGACATACTGTATACGCAATATCTGGTCGTGTGCCTGTTGCCACATACAACAACGACCCCACTAACGATCGATACGGTCGATTCTTCATTCTTGTGTCAGCTTTGTCCATCTTGACCATCGCTTGCCCTTCAACACTTGGATTTGACACTGCTTTCGCATCAACTTGATTAAATTTCTCGACCATTCTTGATATACACGATCCTTGACTGATCTTCAGACGTCGATTGTTGCGCAGGTACTTGACTTCGATTCCAAGAACGTATCGAACACCCCCTAGTATCTTCAACTGGAAACGACTTGATAGTTGAGCTGCCACATCTTCCATCACTCCAGTAGATTCAGCCCCAATTAGAAGGTCGTCCACATATAATGCAGCGTAAATCCACGAGCCCTTGGTCTCTTTGACGAAAATGCATGAGTCTGCCACGCATGAAAAGAACCCCATCTCCACAAACACACACGAAATTGTCTTGTACCATGTAGCGGCCGCTTGTTTCAGCCCATACAGACTGCGATTCAGCTTAAGCACTTGATTATGTTCTGCACGAACACCCAGAGGAGGGTATACGTATACCTCTTCTTCCAAAACGCCATACAGAAACGCAGTGTCGACATCATATTGATGAATCAACATCCCCTTTTGACAGCACACCGCCAAAAACACCCGTATTGAGTTGAGGTTTGCCACAGGTGAATATGTCTCCATGTAGTCAACTCCATACGTCTGCCTGTAGCCAAGTGCTACAAGACGTGCCTTGTATCGAATAATCTCACCCAGCTCGTTTCGTTTGAGTGCGAACACCCACTTGGTTCCAATCACTTTCTGGTTTGGACGCTGTGTTTGAACAGTCCAGGTGTCCTTTTCCTCTAATGCCTTGAGCTCAGCTTGAATGGCCTTGTACCAATTATCACGACGAGGTGACTTAAGAGCTTCTTCGTATGTCGTTGGGGTCTCGAACGCTGCACATGCTTGCTCATACCCAATACGTAGTCTCTTTGTGCCTTTTTCTTGACACACTTCTGAGCCGTCATAAAAGTCCTCATCAGCACCATTCACTGGTATTAACGCTTGAGATTGTCCATGTTGAACCGATTCTAGTGGAACCATCGCGGTTTCTTGCGATGCTTGAATACTTGTCTGTCGACTTGGTCGTATCACCATCTGTCCTTGTCTTGACACGTCTTCAGCCGATTCTTGATCTTCTTCAATCATCGTCACATCATCAATTTCAAACATTGGATCGTCAGCATTGGAACCCACGTGTTCAGGCATCTTGCTACTGCATCTTGATGGTAGAGCCATCGTTGTTGTACGCCTGTCTTGCATGTGACTCTCTTCTTGAACACTGTGACTGTCCTCCATTGCTATGTCCATGTCTTTCGTGACTCGTGGCTGTTCTAAATCGATAGAAACAGTGTCTTCGTCATGAACAGCGCGAAACTCTTGGTCACTTGATCTGCTGTAACGTTGCACGTACTGAAGTGGTGGTCTCTCATCGAATTTAGCCGATCTCGTGTGCGTCACCCTCTTGGCATCTTCATCCCATATTCGAAGCCCCTTGATTTGATCCGAGTAACCTAGAAAAATACATCGAATCGCCTTCTTGGTCATCTTGGTCCTGTTCGACTTGTCGACATGTGCATATCCCTTTGATCCAAATACACACATCTCGGAGAGGTCAGGCTTCTTCCCGAAGATGAACTCAAATGGAGTTTTAGTCGGGTGACTAGCACATGGAACTCGGTTTGTCACATAGACTGCCGTGTTCATCGCCTCAGCCCACCAAATTTTATCCACTTGCATATGGCTGAGCATTGCTCTGGCCCGCTCTGTCAGTGTCCTGTTCATGCGTTCGGCCAGCCCATTCTGTTGTGGCGAATAGGGTACCGTCGTCTGATGCATGATACCAGATTTTCGACATACACCGGAGAAACGTCTGTTGACGTATTCCGTCCCGTTGTCCGTCCTGATACACTTGATCTTCTTGGACAGTTGATTCTCCATAAGTGCCTTATACTCTATAAAGCGATCCGTCACTTCCGACTTGTTCTCAATATAGTATGCGACTATATATCTCGAATAATCATCAATAAAAGTCACGACAAATCTTGATCCTCCTCGAGACTTCGATTCCATAGGTCCCATGACATCACTGTGGACCAACTGCAACACCTCCCTTGGTTTTCACGTGTCCGTATGGTGACTTCGGAAACGTCTTGACGGTTGCTTTACCCATGATGCACCCTTCGCAGATCTCGATATCATCTTCAACGCCTTGATTCTTCTTGATCTTTAATCCATTGACGCAACCTGCCATACCCTTGAGCATCTTCGTTGACAGGTGACCTAATCTTGCATGCCACACTTGTAGATCAGCCGCTCCTGATCCGTCACTTGATTCTTGCTCTTGAGATGTCTCTCCGCAAACGTTGGCTACCTCAGCCGGACTGCACTCTAAGACGTACATCTTGTTTCGTCTTGGTATTTGGGCAACGACTTCCGTGTTACTTCTGATCTGACAGCTCAGATCTGAGAAGATCACTTGTAGACCCCTCTTTGACAATGCCGATATTGACAGTAGCCTTCGGTCTAGGCCCGGCACCCATAGCGTTTCTTCGATCCTGATCACTTCACCAGTCTTGAGTTGCACGCGCACTGTCCCAACACCTTGCGCTTCCACTTCGCTGCCGTCTGCTATGGTGATCATGATCGGGTCCGTCAGTGAGTTTAAATTCGAAAACTCATTTCTGTCGGGACACATGTGGCTGCTTGCCCCACTGTCCAATAACCATCCAGCTGACGTCCGACTTGACGCAGTAAATGCTCTCTCTTCTCCAGATCGCTCTGTCTCCACTTGTTCAGCCTTGCAATCTTGACGCTTGTGCCCATATTTGTTACATCGGTAACACCTTCCCGAAAACTTTTCACCTCTTGAACTTGATCTCCCCATATGTCTGCGCGGACCTTTCTTGTACTTGGAAGTGTGCGTACTTTTCAGTGCGATTTCTTGGTGTTCTGTCCTCGCCATTCCATCGTACTCCCGTCTCAGCATTTCCTTAGCGTGAAACAGTGTCATTCCGGGCATGTTCTCAATTATCTTGACGATAGGGTCATAGTCTCTCGTTAGACTACCCAATAGGATGACCAAATGCTCATCCTGTGAGATCTCTTGTCCCACAGCTTGCATAGTCATGCACAGCTCGTCAAATCTCAGGAAGTGATCCATGATGCTTCCTCCCTTGGCCAACTTGAACTCATGTAGTTGCCGCCGCAACTGCACACGATTGTGCATACTTTGCCGCAGGAAGAAAGTCTTCAGTATGTCCCATGCTTTTGCCGTTGTCTCTGCCGTGCGCACCATTGACTGAAGATTTGTGCTGATCATTGTGGACACAATCGCGAAGGCCTTCATGTCGTTGACTTTCCAAGTTGACGCGCTTGCGTCTCCTTCTTCTGGGGCCTTCATAGCGTCTAGGTGCTCTAGCAATCCCTTCTTTGCCAGCCTCATCCTTGCGTTGAACTCCCACACGAAGTAGTTATCTTCGCGGAGTATGTCGCCCGCATCCGGCGTAGTTGGGCTCATAACCTTTTGACTTTTGGCAACAGCCAAGAGCGAGTTGAGGTGGGAGAGCTTAGAAGAAGGTAAAATGGAAAGTGAATTATCATCTAGCTAGGTCCTTAGTTCGTCTCGTTGTACTACTCTAAGCCTATCGATATCGACTCTATAATATTAGTAACAAAACGATGAGTCGATCCCATCGTTACACACTATCACACAGTGTCGTCCATGACATATGGTCATTAGTATCAGTAACCAACACCGTTACCAATAGACATCATTGCAGCTGCACAGTGCCACCATCGTACAAGCAAAAAGGGTCCAATGGGTGGTGATCAGCTGGCCGAATCCTGGCCAGCTCTCCCCTTCGGCAACGCCAAAGATGCATCGACAACGACAAAAAGAGCGCCGCGCTCGTGGAGATCTCGCGGCAGGGTGGGACACCCTTACAGCCTATTCAATCGAGAAAAAGGTTTGTACTATCCCATTCCTGTGCATGACACATCATGCGCAGCATCGAAGAGGTTGGTGGGTTGCGATCAGCTGCCTTCGATCCACCAGCTCTCCTCAGTCGACTTTCTGATTCGATTCGGCTTTGCATCTGGTCGGCTTGCAGTGCTGCTCTGACCAGCTGCTTCAATCTACTCACCTCAGCAAGTATGTTTGGAAGCTTGCCTTGACCTGGTGGTAAGCCTCTAGACTTTACATGAACAGGTTTCTTCCGATCTGAAACGAGTGGAGTCGAATACTTGGCACGAGTCATATCTGAATGAGTAAATTTTGGCGGATGCCCCATGCCTTTGTTTGTGCACATTGCGTTAGGAATAGCTACAAAATCACATGAGCACGTCGTTCATCATGGAGGGTTTCATGACGTCTTTTTCTTCTAAACAGGAGCAAGACGGCTGGAGGTCCAGAGCCAAGATAGAAGCACCGGGTAGGGTAGCTCGTCGTGGCTGGTTTTCGGCGAGGCCCACTGCCCTTGTGGTTCTTGACCGAGAATTCGAGACAGGCGTGGGGACGAGCCTACTAGCGGTAGTTGCCGCCGATCGATGTTCGCGTGGGCCAGTTGCTTTCAGCTGCCGCATACCAGTTATCCGTAATGTTGACGCACTCCTGACCGGAGAAGATGTCCACTCCGCAGCCACGTCGTCGATGATGCTCGAAGAACTCTTCAAGCCTCGGGCTTTCCAAATTTAGAGGCGGTGCCACGCTACCAACGCACAAGAGAAGAAAGCCTCGTCGCAATTAGCACAGAACACAGTCGTATTACGCGAGCCGAACAGGGTTCAGTTCATTCTAATCGGCTTGTGTGCAACCGTGGATTCCAGCCAGATCTCACGCTCGGCGATGCCTAAGGCACATCAACCACAACAAAAAGCGCCACGTGCGTCGTTTAGATCCAGGGACAGGGTGAGACGTCTTTTTACGACTCACATGATCGAAAGAAAGCAGCGTGTTATCTCATGTGCGTACGAACGTCTTAGGCAAACATAGAAGAGATCAATGGGTTGTAATCATCTGGCTTGAATTCTACCAGCTCTCCTCGACCAGCATTCTGACTGCTTCGCATCCAGCTGTCTTTTTGTTGTTGTTCTGATCAGCTGCTTGTACATGCCCTCAGCAAGCATCGTCCGAGGTTCAAGATGGCTTAATAAGCCTTCAGCCCTCGTATCGACAGGTTTTACCTGATCTAAAGCAGTTGGACAGGGCGCTTGGCGCAGAACCAAACTTTTGGCAGATGCCACATGCATTTCTTTATACATGTTGCACAAGGAAATATTTCGAAAGCGCACGGGTGTGTCGTGGATGAAGCTAGATGAGTTCTTCAAGCCCCCGTCCTCATCGTTCGACAATGAAAGCGAGAGTAGCCTGTACGTCTTGGAGTACGAGACCATTCCGATCGACCATCCCGTTGTAATTAAAGCATAGCTGTGGTCCGCGGCAACATGTCGGCCAGACAGGCACCGCCGTTGTGGAGACACATGTAAATATCACGGCAAATAGTGCAATCTCTTCATCCGGAGCTCGCGTCGATGCTGCATCGGCTGTCTTCGGGAGTTGATGTCAAATGTATCATAATAGAAACGCCAGTACGCTCCATCTCTTTACGGGTGAAGAGCGGTGTAATTTCATAAGCGTATTACGCACGAGCCAGAAAGCGTACAGCGACACTGCACTCAATACAACATCATCTTTCCTCCAAATCAAATTCTAAGGGAGCGGTACATCGCACCCCTTTTCCTTAAATTCACACCCTTTGTCAATCCTGATTTTCGCATCCTTCCTCCAATCTTGATTTTCGCATCCTTCCTCCAATCTTGATTTTCGCCATCTTTTGCCAAACTAGTGATTATAGCCCTTTTCTCGCATTCTTTCTCTACGTAAAACGATCGAGAAAGTATTGAATCATATTGTGTACCTACATTTCATACCTTTCTCCGATAACATATTCGCTTGACAGGAGTGCACCTTCAAGGGCCATGCGAGACGAATCTTGGAATCAAAGCTACGATACAGTAAAAGGAACTATTCACGAGTGTATCTTGGCCTATTTGTGTAATATTGGAAGGGGCGATCAGTAGTTGGTAAAACGACGTCATTATCAAGTTCATCGCCATGCAGTCTACTAAGTGATAGAGTACACACCATCTACAATAATTCGAAGTTTGAGCATAGATGCCAGAATAATAGAATAATCCCTTCACCAGAACTGTTATGCATACCTCTCTCGACCTCCTGTGATGTCCGTCCAGTCCTCCTTCGCAACCCCCACAGGTGGTCTGGACTAGAATTTAAACAATTATCGTGATTTTAGATTGAGATGCGCAACGTAGCTACAAAGTCATTGCCGCACTCATTACACCTTAGTACGTCATTATAGTTAGATCGGACAACTCCCGCAGTAGGGCTGCGGAACAAACGCACTATCAGGATCTATTTTGACAACTTATTAAGCGATTAAAGAAAGGCGCAGGCGCTCTCATATAGTCACACAAGCTCATTTCGTATTTTCGATGGTTGCGCGCTCTTTAGTGGGCGAAAGCACTATTTTAAATGCAGGCAGCTTGTGAGATGCAACCGCGCGACTGGTGTGCTGTCAGTCTCTCACCTTTTTCAGACTATCATATGAATGCACAAATGACCTGTCAACAAAGCAGCAGCGTGTGTCTGCAAGATCGGAACCAGAATGAATAGTGTATTATTCACTGGCGCCTAAAGTATGTACGGCAAGAAGGAGGGCGCTAGTATGGATATTTGTTTTTGTTCACATCTACTATTTGCGTACTACGTAATTAATTTCGATGTAAGGGGTAAACCTATAGATTAGTCTAAATTGGATATTAGGGTGTCAAAATTGACTTTTAAAGGAAGGATGTGAGATGAAGGATAGGAGGTGTGAAAGCATCAACTCTCGTTTGACATTCTGAAGATTCAAGTACTTTTATATTTTGTCTTTTCACATTTTCATATTTTTGGAGTCGTCCATTTTATCGGTCGACTTGACATTTTACCCACAGATTGAATAAAAATCCATTCAAATTCAGTGTGTGATGTTTTTATTTGAAAATAATAAATAAAATTTGTTTAATTTGTTTAGCTAAACAAATCATAAAAATATTTTTAAGTCGATTTCTAATTTATAATCTACAAGCTTTTTATTTCGGATTTGATATCTAACATATTTGTAAAATTTTAGTAAACTAAAAACCGGAAAATGGAATCTGCACCCATTACAAAATTTTTGATAGCAATAATTTTAGAAACTAGACGATTTTCCTCACATTAAAAATGAATTTAGGAATGTTTTGGGATCTCTTTCAGACACAGGTTCCCCTATGACTACCTTGTTACGACTTCATCAAAGTTACTATTTACTTTTTAAGCATCCAACCTTTTTTTTACAAAGTTAAATTATTTTATGTTACAGCCATTCCATGCGTTCTGCAAGAAATAGTAGTACTGCGTAGCTGACGGTGAACAAATTTTAAATTTGGCTTGGCACTATCCACGCTACCAAAGCTCTTATATTTGCTCTCCTGTGCATTTATTGCCCAACCTGACCTTTGCTCTCGAAATGTCTTCGCTCTTTCACTATCTGTATTCTTGCCTGAACACAAATTTTAAGACTGGCAGTCTTTTGCGCCGCGCATTTTGCTTCTTCTCAAAATTCCCTCACTTTTGTCTCGAAATTACCATCTTTTCAACGTCTTTTCCAACACATTTCTTTTGAAGTACTTCGAGAAAAACTAATCATATGATTCAACGAAAGATCATCTCGTTTCGTCACTCTTGGGTATATTGAATATCACGAAAATTTGACGATTGTGTGTACAATTGTGAGCTTGTATCAGCTGCAGGACCGATAATACAATATTTCTGGGGATCCAAAGAGCGTAGAAAACACTATTTCACTGTTAAATAATAAATGAAAGTGAAATAGTTTCATGTCCATCCGAAACGACCAAAGCTCTTTCTCAAGATTAATGGCATCATATTACCACATTTATTCGCCACGAAATAATGTGTTGGCACCACTGTATCCACAAATACATTCTTGTCAATACGTCGCATGCCTCGGATAAAACATACTGTCCTCGTTTGCATCTCCTCATTGCCGCATGACTGCTCGTACGCACACCTGCTCCCTGCGCTTCGGGATTGTACGTCTAGAGGTCGTCCCGTAGATAATTGCTAGTTGTCGAGTTTGTCTACATCTAGAGAAATGATTAGAAACCAAGGCCAAACACGTTTAGAAACACGGACGAGTTCGGTCTCGGTTTGTAATCGACATGCATCAAGATATTTTAAGACATTCAATAATTTGTATGAAGTGAGACGCAAATTACATTCAACTGCTTTTCTATCATATGTGTAGTATACTTTTAAGTAAGACTATCTATCATTTTCGTATTCCATAGTTTGGGTATAACCGAATGTGTAATTGG